AATGACCATCATGCAAATTATCCAACATTTCCTTTATATCCTCTCTGATGGATGCCCAGAAAGCTTTAAAGAACTCTACAGAGAAACCATCAGGGCCAGGAGCAGTATTATTTTTCATCTGTTTGATAGTTAGGTCCACCTCCTCTAGAGTAAATGGCCTAGTTAGCATATTATTGTCCTCAACACTGACCTGTTGGTGAGCAGGCCAGAGGTTAGGATCTAGGTACATGTTTGCCACTTCTGCCTTGCCAAAGAGTTGTTTGTAATAATCTGTGATATGATCTCTCAGGGTCACTGGATTATTTATCTCTAACCCATCAACTTCTAACATAGATACTTGCATTTTCCTCTTTCTTCCATTAGCACATTTATGAAAGTAATTGGAGTTAGAGTCTCCCTGGAGCAACCATTTTTCACCCCCTCTTCTTTGCCATTGGATTTCTTCATCTAACAAAATCTGCTGTAAAGATTTGTCCAGACAATATCTCTCCTCCCATTCTTCCTGCAAAAGATCTCTATGTTCACTCCATTCATCCAACACACTAATCCTGCCCATAATCTCTTGCTTCAGTTTCCTCTGATTGATGTCAAAGTTCTGACCCCACCCTTTAATAGCTTTCCTGAGCTTATGGGAAATGATATGCCAGTGATTTAGGATATCATACTTATATCTAGTAGGCTATTTCTCATTGACCCATTGCTTAAAACCTTCTTAGTGAAGCCAGTGAGCATTGAAGCGAAAATAGTGTAGTTGGGCTGCAACAGTACCACCGGTGTCAACAAAAATGGGGTTATGGTCAGACACTAGCCTGGGGGCAGTAAGAACAGCAGCAAGATTATACTTGTCCTCCTAGTCATTTGAAACCAGAACTCTATCTAGAACACACTGGATGGGGGGGTTTGTTTATTTGACCAGGTGTACCTGCTCCCTGATCTATGTAGCTCTCTAAGCCCAGTTGTATGAATCATCTCATTGAAAGCATCTATCAACAGGAAGTTAACATTCCCAGAAGATTTTTTCTCAATTCTTCTAATTAAGTTAAAGTCTCCTCCAAGCAGAACAGGGATTTCAGAGCTCTCAACAGCTGATTGAATTCCATCAATAAAATCCAGTTTCCTGTCATCATGAGCTGGGCCATAGATGTTAAAAAGTTTCCACACAAATCTATCAGATTTCATAGTCAGTGTACAGCTCTGGAAAAAAATGCCCATAGTTTCCTCAGAGACCTCTGCTAAATCCTTATTGACCCCCATCAGCAAACCTCTAGAATGGCCAGAGCAGGGCACCCAAGACCAAAACATGTCTTTCTGCCCAGCAAATCTATCTAGCTCTCTCTTTTTAAAAGAACTCTTGATGGTTTCTTGCAAACAAATACCATCAAAAGAATGTTTGTTTAATAACTCTAAGAGTAGCTTCCTTCTACCTGCATTACCCAATCCTCTGACATTCCAAAATAGAATCTTCATTTTGATCACTTTTTAACAGCTCAATGTCCATACGAGGTTCAGTTGGAAATATCTCTATTTTGGAACTTTGATCAGCAGTAGACCTCTCACCCCTAGAATCTATCTACGGCTTATTTGGGACAGAACTCACTTGCTGATGATTCACAGAACTCTCAATCTTGTCTTTGATTTTCTGAATGGCTAGCAAGGCTTCTTCCTTGGCTTGTATCAGAGAGATGTTTGCAATTCTAGAAGTCTCATCAGGTCCCAAGGAGAAGCCACACACACTAGCTAAAGTATCCAGAGGATTAAGGAGAGGAGGAGGGGGGGAGTGGTTTAGAAGTTGATATACCTTTAGTTTTAGCTTTTCCATCCATAGCTTTCTTCAGGGCCATCTCTCCTTTGTCTTGAATCCTTGAGCTTTGTCTGGTCTTAGTTGGTAGGTAAACAGCAGCAGTCTTCTTGCTTAGATTTTGCACACCATTTTTATCACTGTCTTCAACCTCCCTTACATTGGGAGGGAAGAAGCTCACATATCCAGGATCCATCATACTCTTTGCATCCACCTATTCAGGTGAATTAGGGCTCAATAACTCTACAACTGTATCTTCATTCTGGACAAGATTGAGGTTAGCTGCCATATCATTCATCTCTTGGAGGATATCTGAGAAACTCATCAACTTTTCACAGGCATGAGTGGGATCTGGTTGTTTGAGCAAAGTTGAGCTTTTTGTTGGACCTGGGATAAGATCAGACAACTTCTAAACAGGTTTTTGCTGTTGAAGAGTATTTGGACTATTTGTTGGCTCTGGGACCAGATCAGGCACACTCTGAGCTCCACCCATTGGTGATTGGAAAGCCACAGAATCAGCTTCCACCTCCTTATCATAGTTACCTCCACTATTCTTTTTCCCTTGAGAGGCAGAGGAACTAGCTTCATTTGGTTTGGGATTGCCTTGATGAGTGAAACCAGTTTCAAGCCAACCATGACTCTCTTATGACTCTGGATCTTCCTCATCAGTCACTTGGTCATCTTCTGGCCCCCAATCATCATCTGGTCGAGTAGGTGGTTGCTGCTTGAGTTTTTCTGAGTAATACCAAGATATTTTCCTGCCTTGTTTATTGATGAAGACCTCAGATGTCCCACCAATTTTGTCTGGATTTTTGAAGGACACTTTCACCCAAACAGATTTCCAGTTCAGAGATGGATTGTGTACTTCCTCAGGATCCCCCACCAGTCGAGCTAGCTCTAACACAACAATTTCTGACCTGGCTATACTTGGGATGCCAACAGCTCTGACCCACACTGATTGAAGTACCTAGAAAGCGCCAGGTTCCATGTTGGATTCCTCCACCACAGCCATGATATCAGCAGTGACAAATTTGATTTTCCCCATCTTAGTGAGCAGATTCAGGGCAATTCTTGAGGGGAGGGTTGCTAAAAACTCACTCTCTGAGATTCTCTCAACATCCCAGTTCCATTTTGAATCCATAAGGTACTACAATTCTGTTGTGATTCTAAGCTTAGTACCTCTACCTTCAAGTACTGAGATAATAGCTCTAATAGGGCCCCCTTCTCTCTGCTTATTATCAGCTTTAGGATCTGGTAGATTTAGAGCATAGAAAAGCTGACCAGGCATACCAATAGCGCATAGTTGTAAACCTTTGTTTGATTTGTACGAGCACTGATTAGATTTGTGACCAGTAGTTCGACAACTATAGCAGAAAGGGTCATTCTTACAGTTTGACCAGTGGTGCCCATCTTGATTGCAATTGAAACATTTCATTGGAGCACCAGAATACTGACCTTGGCTTTGGTATCCTCCCTGTTGTGGATTGTAATTTCTACGCCTATCCTCAATCTTCTGCCTCAAGTCACCTTCAGTCATCTGTCGGACGTCTCTGTCCTCATAGAAGTTACCTCCATGTTTGCGCCCTTGGAAATCAGCTTGGTCCATATCTCTAGAAGTCTGGCGAGGATACCTCAACTCTTTATCATTAAAATTGGGCGAACGGCCTTCACGGTGGCCAGCCTCACGACCTTCCCTGGCATCGCGAGGGTATGAATCACGCCCATCCCACGCATCATGGCCATCTCTAGCATCTCGGTGAGAGCCGTCCCATCGCTGGAAATCACGAGCCCGGTCACCTTCTCTCCCATCCCGGAATGGCATACCTCTCTTATCCATCTTCTTTTTGGTGACCTCAAGGAAAGACCTACCGTTAGTGGTGGTCGGGTGGACACGACGCAGATGCTTAGCTTGGCTACCAAATCTTCTAACCTCAGCCGCACTCGCCGGAAAATGTTGTGCCTCCGGATCCCAAACCCTAGCGACGGCGACCCAAACCCATCTGGAGGACGGATTCGACGAGAAGACCGGAGGAGGGGAATACGAGTGGGAGAAAAGGTCTTCTATAGATGGGCCTTGACAGGCCGGCCCAACAAGCTGTTTACCTTTCTCCTCCTTCGTCAACTTTCTTCCGCGCCTTTCGATGGAGCCCTTCCCTGTCAATGGCGGATTCAAGCTCCGACCGCTGCCCTGCTCCACAATACCTCGATTCATCCCATGGATCTCACTAATACGAGTCTCCGGAGGCTGTAACTCCATCATAATCTGATCAATATCTCGAACATATCTCTCGTCATCCCGCGCAGAGTTCCAAGTGAAATTGAGCGGAAGATTGCCAACCACAGTCGAGCTAGGATTAGGCGAAGCAATAGGAGGGAGGTGTTGACATTGCAGACGTTTCTCCATGACCTCATCTCTGGGCTGCGAGTGTTTAGGCAAGCCGAACACAACCTTTGTGATATTGCGACGCGAACTCAAAGGGGGAAAGTGCTCCGCGTTCGTCCAATCCTCCAAATTCATCTCCAAATCCAGGGGAGACGATCGTACCTGGCTGGAGGCAAGGGATGGCGTACGCCGCACATACTCCCGTCGTGGATTGCCCCCGCTCGGGTCCAGTGGAGGTCTCTGGCTCTGAGGCGACACCGCAAATGGGGGAACCGCAAGCGTGAGTCTGCGATTTCCCATGCCGTCGATCGAGAAACAGGGGTCAAACCGACGAGCATCAAACGGCGAACTCAATCTCCTACTTTTGGGCGGAGATGATCGACAAGATCTCCGACGATCACCGGAGAGAGGGGACTGGGGTCTCTCTCTTACTCTCTCTCCTTACGGGCCTTTGGCTCCTCGTAAAAATTGCTCTACTACTTCATAACAATTACCAGCCTGTTCGTTTGACTGTGGTTTGTCGTATATGATCGTAAATTTTCAGCTAGAACAGTATTTTTCTCTCACATAAACCAGCCAGCAGTACTACTTCACGAACCATCAACGATACGAACCAGTCAACACGAAACAAGCTGTATACATTGGTGAAAACAAAATCTTAACTCCCTATTCTATGCAGCGGTCGCGGAATCTACAGAATCTACAGCGGTCACAAGTCACCATTCACCAAGTCACCATTCACCAGCAGAAAGATTCCGCCCATCGCCCACTGCGCACTGGGCACGGGCTTCCAGGTGAAGAGCCCAAGCAGAACCCACCATGTCACCGGCGGCGAGGCGCCTCCTGCTCGCCGGAGCCGCTCGTCGCCGCCGCTTCTCCACGGACTCCGCGGCGTCGTACCCGTCCCGGCCGTCGCAGCAGCTGCCCAAGGGCAAGCGGTGGGACGCGGTGGTGATCGGCGGCGGCCACAACGGCCTCGTCGCGGCCGCCTACCTCGCCCGCGCGGGCCGCTCCGTTGCCGTGCTTGAGCGCCGGGGCATCCTGGGTGGCGCGGCGGTCTCGGAGTCGGACCTTGTCCCCGGATTCCGCTTCTCCCGCTGCAGCTACCTCCTCAGCCTCCTCCGCCCCGCCATCCTCCGGTGAGTAACCTCCCCAAAGGATACGTCCTTTGCGATTACCACACATCGGTTCCTGTTGCATTCATGCGCCGCAGCCTTGCACTTAGATGCTTTCTATCAATGTCGGTTATTCTCCTCTGTACACAACTCTGAACTGCATACCGATGTTTTGATTTGTATCTGGTGATGATGAGTTGATGACACTACTGCTGTTGTTGCGGTTGCTTGCATATATACTATAAGCGACCTGGAGCTGGAGAGGCACGGGCTGAAACTGCTGCCGCGGAGCCCTTCGTCGTTCACGCCATGCCTTGACGGCAGATACCTGCTTCTTGGTCCGGATGCAGAGCTAAACTTCTCAGAGATCAGCAAGTTCTCTAGGAAGGATGCAGAGGCATACCCAAGGTGCATTTTATCTTGGAATGATCTTAGATTAAATAAATGGTTAAGCTCCTGATTCCTGTGGTATCTATGTACATTGTATCTCTTTATTACAATGATGATCTTGGTGGGATCTGTATGTGAATGCAGATACGAGGAGAAGCTGGAGCAGTTCTGCAAGCTCACGGACTTTGCCATAGACTCGGCTCCACCCGAGCTGAGGCAGGAGGTCCACTTCTCTATGATTGACAGGATGAAGCATAGGGTCGAGAAGTCAGCATTCTGGGGCCACCTTTTTCGGCATGTGATGCAGCAGGGGCAGGCGAACATGGTGTGAGTACTGTACTGCCCCCTTGTCAATGATTTGATCGGCACCATTTATGCAACCCTTTCTAAAAATCAAATTGTTGTCGGCAGGGAATTCTTTGACCTCCTCCTTTCTCCGGCATCGAAAATCTTGAACACCTGGTTTGAGGTCAGCATTAGTCCCATCTTAAACTTTTCTGCTCACATTGATCATATGAAGCAACTGTGTGGTTGCTTTATTTCAATTGACAGTCTGCACCTAATCTTCTTTGACATGTGAACGAATAGGCTTCTCATTGACTTCTTTCTACTGCAGAGCGAGATTTTGAAGGCGACTCTTGCAACTGACGCTGTGATAGGAGCTATGGTAAGGGTGCTTTGAATGAACTAAGCAAAATATTCTGCCTAGTATATTGGCATTTGACTGCTGGATATCTCTTTTATAGGCTGGTGTTCACACTCCAGGTTCTGGATATGTTCTCCTACACCATGTCATGGGGGAGACTGGTGGTCAACGTGGTGTTTGGGCGTATGCTTCTAACTTTGACTCTCTAAGATGCTTCTTATTTTTGTTATTTTCAGTGGGGACTTTGATCCCAAATGTTTCCTCAACTGGTGTGTATATCCACTGGCTGGGAAAACAAGTTTTCAAGGATTAGTGTTATAGAAAATGGCCTCATACAATGTAGTCAAATCTGCTTGTTAGTATGTTGGGTTCATTATTAGTTCTTTCGTCAGTTCATCTTTGTTTCAGTTTACAGAAAACTTCTTTTTTAAGTAAAGAAAATAATACACTTGCTACAGGTACGTCGAAGGTGGTATGGGTTCAGTGTCATCGGCTATAAGCAAAGCAGCTCTTGAAGCAGGAGTGCAGATTGTAACAAATGCCGAGGTGCCTTTACAATTCTTATAGCATGTAGGGCTGCTCTTTGGCAGAGTAATTTTTCCAAATTGAAACAGAAAAAAAAAAACGATCAATTTTTCAAAATTGTTAAATGTAGTTCTCAAAGGAAAAAGATCATTTGGTTTATGTAGTGGCAATTTTTCATAATTGTGGTTTACATTCCATATTAGGCATCTTGCTTGACTTGATCCTTTGTTCTTGTTTAGGTTTCCCAAGTAATGGTTAACAAAACTAGTGGAATGGTAAAAGGGGTAAGTACTTTGATTAACCTGTAAGTGCATTTCATTCCTTTCAACCTCTTGAAAGATTGGGATTTGTAGGTAGCTTTGGCTGATGGAACAGTGGTGCACTCGCCAGTTGTTCTCTCAAATGCCACTCCATACAAAACATTTGTGGTAAGGAAAACTCAGAAATATGTAATATTGCAAAGATGTACCAGCTCTAGTTTTGCTAGCATAACTAAGCAAATATTTTTTTTATACTGATATGTGGTTTCTCTTGCAGGATCTAGTACCTTCTAGTGTTCTTCCGGAGGACTTCCTCTGTGCAATTAAGGCAGCAGATTACAGCTCTGTAAGAACTTGTGTACAAGCATATTTCAGTACTATAATAATGGTGTTTTCTTTTCAACCAAAGAAATTGCACCTAAGAAATAGTCACTGAGTTGAAAAGCACCGTCATAACTATTTACACCAACATGCCTGTCTGTGGCATCTGTGAATGGGAAAACATTTTTTAAAATGGAATGGGAAAGCATTATAAAACTTGAAACTTAGAGAAAGTCAACATGCCTGTCAACATGTTGTTGATTATGATGTTGCGAATATTATTTGTTTCTTCTGCTTCTTTCATTCTTCACTACATGATGTTGATTGTTACCGTCTCCAAGATGTTTTTTCAAAATTCTATATTGGTAAAGTAGATATTTATATTTTATAGAATTACTCTTAAGATGAATAGTTTGAACATTCCGATAATCAACAGTGACTCTAACAACTAAAATATTATAACTCTGATCGATAATCGTTAATGATATAATATGATTTTTTGGGGGGCAGGCAACAACAAAGATTAATGTGGCTGTCGACAGGCTGCCACAGTTCCAGTGTTGCAAAGACAGCAACCCTGAAGGTGGTCCAGAGCACATGGGCACCATACACATTGGGTCCGAAAGGTATATAACTAAACTGACATATTTTTCATATTCAGTTGTCTTTGATCTTTATTTGCGGTTACTGGATAAACAAATAAGGTGTCAGATACTATTTATTATCACATTTATCCTTTTTGTTAATGTATTGCACATCTTCCCCCAGAGCCAACTTTTTTAATGTATTGCACAGCCTGTGCTTATCAACATGAGTAGGACAAGGGAAATGATCTCTTAACTCAAGAATGTTATTACTCGATAATAAGTTGTGCTGTTCTGAAACAGTGCCCTGCACTAGTTATCCTGACTTTATTTACAAAATTTGTTACCTATATGTATAAATTGATGTAACCGCACTCATGTTATATGAGGCCAGCCTATAGTTAGATATTCATTCCTCATTCTTTTCTCATAAGGAAAGCCAGATGATCTGGCCTCTCATGTGATTGTGTGAAAACTATTTATTTGAGAAGAGAAATAGTATCACCTTGACTGAGTTATTCCACACTTAATGTCTTCTAATATGGAAATTCTGCTTTCTTCCAGCATGGAGGAAATTGACCTTGCATATAGGGAAGCAGCAGGCGGCATCTCATCCAAAAGACCTGTTATAGAAATGACAATTCCTTCTGTCTTGGATAAGACCATCTCTCCACCAGGTATGCATATTTCTTGTTCCCTCATCATTGCAGTGGCATTAGGCAAAATATATAGTGCAAACTATCTACTAAGACATTTCTCACTATCCCAAAATCCCAATAGAGCAAGAAATTATATGGGGGCATGCGTCGTTAAACTGTCATACGATCTTACCGCTACTCTTTGTGTCCAAGGCAATTTCGTTCCTACTCTGACAACTTTTCCATCTTTTGCTTTATCCTTTCGATAGGTCAGCATGTTATTAATCTTTTTGTTCAGTACACACCCTACAAACTTTCAGAAGGCAGTTGGCAGGATTCTAATGTCAGAGTATGTTGATCTTACTCACACTTTGATCTCGCTATACATTCTGTGTTCACGTTTGCACATGCGGATGGCTCACAAATATTGTTAGCCATTGCTGCTAACACCATCTGTGGATAGACTTATTTGCTGGATTTACCGTCAGGCATCAGTAACCATTTTGATGGGAACTAATTTTCAGAAAGCCTTTGCTGAGCGATGCTTTTCTTTAATTGATGAATATGCACCGGGCTTTAGCTCATCGGTGGAAGGCTATGATATGCTGACTCCACCTGATCTTGAAAGAGAGTTTGGTCTAACAGGTAAGCTCTTTCCCATAGTATACACAGCCTTCTTCTGCATGTCATCTATACTTGATCCTTTCTGTTTAATTTACTGTATCAATAGAAGACTTGGCGCTAATAAAACATGATTCACATTTCACAGGGGGAAACATTTTCCACGGTGCAATGGGCTTAGATTCTCTTTTCCTCATGAGGCCCGCCAAGGGATGGTAATAGTTGTCTATTGCATTGATCCTTTTTCTCCTTGCCAATCTTTGAAGCTTCAGTGTCAGAATCCGTGGCTTTGGGATCATGACTAACCTGTTTGCACTTTGGCGCATACAGGTCAGATTACAGAACTCCTGTGAAGGGGCTGTACCTCTGCGGGAGCGGCGCACACCCAGGTGGTGGGGTGATGGGTGCGCCAGGACGCAACGCCGCCGCCATTGTTTTGGAGGACCTGATGAAGGCAAAATAGATGTAGCTCGCGGGAAACGGAGATGGCATTTCATCATCAGGAGGAGGAGAAGAAAAGCCTGCAAAAACACGTCATTCATTTGTTATGGTGCAATTTTAGTGCCATTCATTCATCGAAACTGAGTTTTGGTTGCGCAAGTTCCTTTTTTTGGAGTATTGTCGCAACTTGCAATCCATAGTTGGACCCGGGGCTAGATCCAAACTCTCAGCGAGACTGATGGAGAACTCATCATGTGAAACAAATGGCCACTAACATTTCGGTCCGTATCCGACGTGAAATTAGAATTGTGGTAAAATGTGTCCACCACAAAGGCTATGGCCTATGGGCTTATTTTGCGATGAAACAACCAATCACGGCTCATTGGACATGGGCCATCCTAAGACAAATGTTGTCATCATCGTAATTAGGTGATTAGGCCAAGGTGATTAGACAAGTCTTAGTGGGAGTTTTCATGCCTCTGTTTCTAAGACTCCCCGACATTAGAAACAGTGTAAATAAGTTTTATCCCATGAAACTCATTTCATCCCATAAAACTATTTCCACTTCTCTTCATTTAAACTATGCTACATCAATTTATTTAATACGCATGAAACTCTAATGAAACTTCCATTAAGACCGGCCTTATTAGCCCATGTATATTCTATAGAAAGAATCATGGCCTGTGGACTGCTCAAGTTGCTATTTTCTAGTACTATCCTCTCGAAAAATTACCTTTGTATTTAATTTATATTAAAATATGTCGAGCAATTCCCTTATAAAAAAATCTAAAAAAAGCAAACCAGCTTAAACAATCCATCATGAAGAGCATATGACTATCTAACATGTCAGTTTATTTAATTTCATAATGATTACGTGTTTTAAAAAATAAAATAATGACAGGGTGCAATGATTCATAGAAATGATACGTAATAAAACGTAGGGGGAAACTCAAGACCACTCATGAAAATTGAAAAATAATGAATCAGACAGCTTCAAATAAAGTATGCCTTGGATTTCAGAATGTTCACATCTCGAGAAGGAAAATGATGCTGAAACGAATCTGTATCCATATTGCATATCCAGCTAAGTGAAATGGTGTGACACGTTGCCCATCGGTCTTATCCGAAACGCATCATGCCTCATGATACAGAGTTGAAAGCTCTCTTGACCTTGGCCAGCACAATCAGACCCTGTTTGGAACACGGAATGAAATCCCCCCCTGTTTTTACGTTTTTCCTGTAGAATTGAATTGATTCTTTTATCTTATACAATTTATGTGAAATTTCTACGTTTGAAACATACTCTCATGTAATGGTTTACCTACAAGCAGCCTGTTCGGGAGGCCGTATCGTATCGTGGATTATTTACTGCTGGCTGGTTTGGTGTGAGAGAAAAACACGGTTCTCGGCTGAAAATTTACGATCGTTTACGAGCAAGCGAACATGCTGAAGAATAGTGAGTGGGGGACCCTTGTGATTATTAGTTGGTGATGGTACGAGAAAATGTGATTAGAAATTGCAGCTAGTGTCCTTTGCATTTGTTATAGTGCTATACAATGCCACACGCTTTTGTGGCCATAGGCTAACTATTGATTGCTATTGGGACTAGTAGTGGTGATTGACTAATTGTGCTATTTTGTTTAGCTAAGTTCTTCAACGACGGTCCCAAGAGGATAAGACACTAATATCATTTTCAGCTGACCTGAAAAGAAATGCATTGCAACAAGGTATACCTATATCCACCATTTAATGTAATCTCTGTCTTGTACTTGTTTTTTTTTTTTAAGAACCGTCTCCCTACTCTATTAAAAAGAAGGAGCAACCCAAAAGGGCACTGTTCAAAGTTATCTGCACATAGGGATGAAAACGGATCGGATACAAACGGATATCACTAATATTATATTTGTTTTCATATTTTTGTTCGGATTCGGATTCGAATACGGATAATGTCAACCATATCGGATATGATACGATTGGATATCGACATCATAAATATGCGATTTGAGTATTCGGATACGGATACGGTATCGGATATTGAATATCCGGACTCGGATACGAACAGATCTGAACCCCTTTAAACGGATTCGATCTCGAATACGGTCGGAAAATATCCGTACCGTTTTCATCCCTATCTGCACAAGCCAAGTTTACTTTAAGAAGGTGGTGATCGTTTGTTTATCCAATGAGTTTGTATTATGGTTTTGAATGTTTACCTTTCCATCTTTTGGTTGACAATTCACCTCGTTCCTCTGTTTTCACTCATGATTCCTTTGTCACATCATTTCTACTTCCTTGAGCCTTCTCAACTATGCCGCCGTGATCACCCCTCTTATCACCCCTTCATATATTTTTTTAGGAAATTGAAGGGGTTTGAGCCTCTACAGAAATTAAATTAAAATGAGCCCGTGCAAGTTAAAATAAGAGAATACAAAAGCCCCTTCATATTTGTTCCTCTCTGTGCCGTCTATTTGTAAAACACGTCCATCGCAATGGTGAATCGCGTACCGTTTGTCCATGTCCTCTGTCATTAGTAAAGGCGTTAAACACTATGAAGTTTGATTGAATATATATAGAAATATAATTTGAACGTAATGATAGGAGCTCTCCTCCTCAATTAAGATATACTAGTATTATTATGTGTAATAAGTACTATTAATTAAGCATGAAATATATATTTATAATAAATATATTTGAAAATATGAGTATTAATATTTGTTTTATAAATTCATCAAAACTTAAAATTATTTTACTCATCGGGAAGGGAAATGAGATTTACATTTTTTTTCTTTACATGGAGGGAGTAACATCCCGATGAGAAAAAAAAATTGACGTCGGCTAAGAGTTTTCATGGAATTACACCGCATAAGCGTTTGACTTGCATTATTTTAGAGATTAGAGAAGTGGTTGGACACATCCTTAGTTCCTTGTATTAGAAAAAAAATCTTCCAAGCGGCGGGCCACATCCGTCAGTGAGCATATAGAGACATTATAATACGAAAATACTTTCTTCGGACACGGCTTCCCAGGAACGGTCCTAAAAAAACAAACCCCTATTCCCTTGTGCATATCCGTTCGTCGTTCTCGAGCTCACACCCACTCCTTCATGCTTATCCTTCCGGTCCCAAACCAGCGTGGTTGCTCATCCGTCCGCCCCTTCTTCAGCGCGTGCTCGTCGGGCTAACGCGCCGTTTCCTTTCCCCATCGTCTGCCGCGCCACACGCCCTCGCTCCCTGTGCCGCTCACCTGTGTGGCAGTTACCTGCATCGCTTGCTTCCTCTCCATTTATCCGTCGCCCATCGCCGTTGGGCGCGCCGTTGCCCCCGCCATGGCTACTGGGCACACGTGTCGTGACGCCTTAGGTCTTCCCTAGCCAAGCCAAGGGCACCCACGAGCGTGGCGGGTGCTAGTGGTGCTCGCACGCGTGTGGCTCGCCGCTGGATCCTATCCTGACGCTCAGAATCGACTGGCCCGGCCTTCCCTCCCTATGTTGCATATGTATGTTTCAAGTGTTTCAAACGTTTTAGATGTATATTGCAATTATTTCATCTTGATGTTGCAAAAGTAGATTGGAGGATGTTGCACATGCTGCATATGTTGTAAGTGTTTCAGAGGCATGTTGCATGCATTTGTCCAAAATTTTCATATGTTTCTAGACGTCTGTTATAATTTTTTTTATCTAGATGTTGCGTATGTTTCACACATATGTTGCAATAGTATGTTTTAAAATGTTCCAGTTGTTTCAGTCTTATGTTGCAGCAAGTGGTTTCATATTGCAAGTTACAAATCTGGATGTTTCGTGTGTTTCACATACACGTTGCAAGTGCATGTTACAAATGTTTCATCTACGTATGTTGCATTCAAATATTTTTCTGCAAGTGTTTTATGTTGTACGGCCGGAGGGGAGCGGACTGGACGCGCGACGCGCCGGGGGGTCGGCGAATGGTTGTGCTGCGGTTAGGACACGTTGGGGATGTGCTCGTCCTCAACTGCTCATCCTGGCCTCTGAGTGTTGCCCGCGCGGAGAGAGAGGAGGTGGTCCGAGGCAACAGGCGGGCACAAAGACAGGACGAAGTGCGCGTGTAAGGTAGAGTGAAGGCAGATAGAAGCGGATTAAGCGGATGTCCGAATTCCGAACATGCACATCCGTTCGGATGTTTCGTCTGGATGTTCGGACGCTAACCACAACCTATCAATTAATGGCGTGGCGTCGACCGATCAACTACCGGCATCCAACCAGCGAACCGCCGGTGTGGCAGCGAAGCATTCAACGGCATCTCTCTCAGCTCCTCTCGAAAGCTCCGTTGCGCTGGCCGGCGGCATCCGGAAATTGTGTGGCGGAGCGGAGCGGAGCCGAGGCGGGCTGGTCTCACACGGCACGAAACCGTCACGGCACACGGCACCACGATTTGCTTCCCCTCCCCTTCTGCCCTTCTCCTCATAAATAGCCACCCCCTCCTCGTCTCTTCCCCCAAACTCATCTTGAGGCTTTTACATGTATGTCATTAAAAAAGTTTGTAATTACACACAGGCCATTAAAAAATTTACCGCACACATATGCCACCGTTCTGAACTTCTTTGCTCTCCAAGCCATTCCATCCGTATTCCGTTCGTTTTTCACCGTCTGGGAGTCATGACAAGTGGGTCCGGTCAGTCAAAACGTTCATAATACCCCTCTCATCCCTATCCTCTCTCTCTCAAACTTGACCTCATCTCTCTTCTCCTGCAGGTGCCCCATGGAGCTTCGCCTGCCTTGCCCATTGGCTGGCGGAGTTTCCCCACGCCGCTGGGCGGCTAGGGGGCTGGGCTGCACATGCCGCTGCGTTCGCTGGGCGGTTGTCCGGGCCGAGCTTGCTTGCTGCTGCATCGCCATTGTGGCTGTCTGGGTCGAGCTCGCCTTGCTGGCGCCAGGAGGTGGCGGCCGGGGCCGAGCTCGCCCGCACGCGCCCACGGCGGCTAGGGCGGACCTCCTCGCGTCACCTCCACGCGCGCTGCGTCAGATCCATGGCGAGGACCGGCTGCTGTAGCTCCACGCACGCCGCCTCCTGGCTCTCGCCGCCGCCGTTGGGGACGAGGCCGCCTCCCTGTACGCTGGGGCCCTCGACGTCACTGTCGGGGCTCGTGCCGCTGCTGCAGCTCCCCGCCATCTCCTTCTTCTTGGCCGCGGCGGCACGGGAGGCGCGCCTTCACCTCGTTCGAGAGCGTGGCTAACAAACGGACCCCACCGTAGGGTAAAATGGTCATTTCACTTGTCTGTTTGACACCGTTAAGTAGAAAAAATGGACGGAATACCTTGGAGAGCAAAGAAGTTGAGAACGATGGCATATGTGTGCAGCCAACTTTTTTAATAGCCTGGACGTGATTTCAAACTTTTTTAATGGCTAACGGCTAAAAGCCTCACTCATCTTCTCTTCATCTCTTGTGTTGTTCGGCCACACGGCCCGATCCCAATCCCCTCTTCTCGCGAGCCTCGTCGATACCCCCTTCCCTCGCTTCAAGGTACGGCGATCGTCCTCCGGCTTTCACTTCTCCCTTCTCCTCCTCTTGGTATACGATTTGTTATGGGTTATTATGGGGGACGTGAGTCCTCGATCTGGCGATTTATTACGGGTGCTCTGATCTGGGAACCGAGTACTCGATCTAGTAACTGTGGGATGCTTGTAGGCGGCGCGGAGAGGTTGGGTAGTTGTGATGATTTGGGCTCGTTGATTAGGATTGGATCTGCTCGTAGTCTTCTTTTAATTAAATCCCTGACCAGAATGATGAATTGCTTGTCCTATTAGGTTAGATGGAAACCAGTAGGGTGGCTCTGATTTATTTATCCTTGATCTGGTTTGATGTTCCACTACGCCTGTGCGTCTGGTTCGTCAGACCTGTTTTGTTGTTTTTGGTCTGGTTGTGATGCTGGTCTAGATCAGGGTAGAATAGAGAATGGTTATATGAACTAGCTGCTGTCTCATTAAATTTGGATCTGCCTGTGTTAACATATATTTTCAAAGAATTAACATGAGCTAGTATGAACTAGCTGCTTGTCTTATTAAATTTGGATCTGCATGTGTTAACATATAGTTTTCATAATCAATATGATGGGTGAATATGTGCTTCAGATATATGCTGCAGTTTTCTGCTGAGGCTATAGCTTTTGTCTGATTAAAGTGCATCATGCTTATTCGTTAAACTGGGGGGCTGTCTTAATAAGAATTCATTTTTGCCCGATGTTGGAGGAAAAAATGCTTCGACCTGTTGTTTTGTTCGATATATGCATGCTTAGCTATTACTTTATGAGCATGCATTGTCCTGTTTTGTTTGATATGCATGCTTAGAAAGATGAAGATATATGCGGCTACTGTTCGATTCGATAATTCTTTAGCATCTACTCAGTACCTGATGAGCTTGCATGCTCTTGTTACTCTCTTTATTATGTACTTGGATGGTGGCATGCTGCTTGTGTTCCTTGATTCTATGCCACCTACATATGTAGAGCATGCATACATGTTTATCGTTGCTTGTGTACTGCTATATGCTTACCCTTTTGATTGGTTTCTCTGCAGATGCAGATCTTCGTGAAGACCCTTACTGGCAAGACGATCACCCTTGAGGTGGAGTCCTCGGACACCATCGACAATGTCAAGGCCAAGATCCAGGACAAGGAGGGCATCCCACCGGACCAGCAGCGTCTGATCTTCGCCGGCAAGCAGCTTGAGGATGGGCGCATTCTTGCAGACTACAACATCCAGAAGGAGAGCACCCTCCACCTTATGCTCCGCCTCAGGGGAGGCATGCAGATCTTCGTGAAGACCACGGACCGGCAAGACAATCACCCTTGAGGTTGAGTCTTCGATACCATTGACAACGTCAAGGCCAAGATCCAGGACAAGGAGGGCATCCCCCCGGACCAAAGCGCGTCGATCTTCGCCGGCAAGCGGCTTTCGAGGATCAGGCGCACTCTTGCCGATTACAACATTCGGAAGGAGAGCACCCTCCACTTGGTGCTTGCGTCTCGGGAGGCATGCAGATCTTCGTGAAGACCCCTGCGGCAAGACGATCACCCTTGAGGTGGAGTCCTCGGACACCATCGACAATGTCAAGGCCAAGATCCAGACAAGGAGGGCATCCCACCGGACCGGCGGCGTCGATCTTCGGCCGGCAAGCGGTGGAGGATGGCCGCACCCTTGCGGATTACAACATCCGTAAGGAGAGCACCCTCCACACGGTGCTCCGCCTCGAGGGGTGGCATGCGAGATCTTTGTGAAGACATTGACGGGCAAGACCATCACCTTGGAGGTTGAGAGCTCGACACCATCGACAACGTGAAGGCCAAGATCCGGGATAAGGAGGGCATTCCCCCAAAGAGCGGCGTCGATCTTGTTGGCAAGCGGCTAGAAGATGGACGTACCCTTGCCGACTACAACATCCGTAAGGAGAGCACCCTCCACTTGGTGCTCCGCCGAGGGGTGGTATGCAGATCTTTGTGAAGACCTTGACCGGCAAGACCATCACCCCGGAGGTTGAGAGCTCGACACCATCGACAACGTGAAGGCCAAGATCCGGGACAAGGAGGGGATTCCCCATCGGCCAGCGGCGTCTCGATCTTCGCCGCGGCAGCGGTTGGAGGATGGCCGCACCCTTGCAGACTACAACATCCGGAAGGAGAGCACCCTCCACACGGTGCTCCGTCTTCTTGTGTGGTCGATAAGCCATCGATCGTTGCTGAAGCTGCTGCGCACACCGGGTCATCTAGTTCCTCTTGTTTCGCCATGGATAGTCTTTGAGTATATTTGTATGGTCTGTATCGTGACTGAGTTTGTTTCATGGACCGGTTGTGTTCCTCTGTGTTCTACCCAAAACTATTGTGCGGCAGCATAGCTTAATCATGAATAAATGTGATGTTTGAATTTGAAATATGCGCTGAATATTGTTTTTTGTTATTTTAGTTAATGTTACTAAATTGGTTAGTAGCTTTTAAATTTTGTCTACTGGTGTTTGTCTCATCTACGTCTTTTTTCTGAATGTTTACTTTAGATTCTGGCAAGCTCAATTTCTGAGACTGGTAAAAACTTGCTACCTAAAAAGAATGCAGTTCTTGATTTTCATTATTAATTATACATATTTTCTATGAATTTACTTAAAGAAAATTTGGCTTAATCCAAAGCTAATATTTTCTATGAATCATATTGATATACATGTTTGATTGTCCGATTACATGTTTGATTATTTGGTTTGTTACCATCGCTATTTTCATTTAGTTTGTTTGTTCCTTATTGTAAGCTGGTTACCCCAGCGGTTTGGAGTTGATTGTTGTTACTACTTAAGCTTTCTATAAAAGCTGGATTTACCCCGTCAAAAAAATGTGTTCTTCATATTCATATCATATTACTCTGAAGCCTAGTTTTGTTCTTGACAAGAGTAAATTTTCTGAGGTTGTTTCTGTGATCATAACTCACTTGGAGGCTCTATGTTCTCTGGAGACAAAGTGGCTTGCTTTCTGCATGTCTAATTTTTTGCTTGACCCATTGCAAAACAAACGACTAACCTAACTTGTGTGATGTTGTAATGTTGTTATGTGTCTACCTATGGGTCAAATTAGTTTACTGGATACTGCTAGAAGTATAGTTAACCCTTGATTAAAGAAATTTCACGATTATAAAACTGATGGATGAATGTTATTGGCCTGGAAACAGCTGCTTGCTGATTGATCAAGCTCTGTTTGATTTGTTAAATATCAGTATATCACTGTTAGAATGTAATAGTAACAGCCCATATTGGGTGTAAGGCCCATTGGCCTTGTACATTGTAACCCTAGCCTATTAGGCTATATAATGAAGGTCACCCCCCTGATTAGGGTGTGCGGTGTTGCTTTACATGGTATCAGCCCTAATTACGGTCCTTTCCTTCCGCTCTCGCGCCTCCTCTGCCCGTGCGTCCTCCGTGAGGACGTGCGCCACCGCACCAGCCCGGCCGCGCGTGCACTCGCGCCGCCGCCCCTGCCCCGCGTCGTGATCGCCAGGCCGCACGCCTCCTCCAGTCGCGCCGCCACGTCGCGCGCGCGATTGCCGCTCCAGGCCGCCGCGCGGATCGCGCCCATGACGTTTGCTAGTTCGGTTTCTAGTACATCTGCACCTTTTAAACTTGTTCACTGTGATGTCTGGACCTCTCCAATTTTGAGCATTTCTGGTTATAAATTTTATCTCGTGCTAGTTGATGATTATACTCATTATTGTTGGATGTTTCCTCTTCGCCATAAATCCGAAGTTCATGAACATATTGTTCAGTTTGTTGCTCACGCTCACACACAGTTCAGCTTTCCTGTGCGCTGTTTTCAGGCAGATAATGGCACCGAGTTCATCAACAATGCCACCGCTACCTTCCTGGCTAGCCGCGGCATCCTGCTTCGCACCTCGTGTCCCTACACATCCGCCCAGAACGGCAAAGCTGAGCGGATGCTTCGCACACTGAACAATGTTGTTCGCACGCTTCTGTTTCATGCCGCCATGCCTCCATCCTATTGGGTCGAAGCTCTTTCCACCGCTGTGTTTCTGATCAACCGGCGGCCCTCATCGTCCATACATAATGGTATTCCCTATCATCTCCTCCACCGCAAAATGCCAGACTACTCCATCCTTAGAGTTTTCGGTTGCCTGTGCTATCCGAACCTCAGTGCCACGACTCCCTATAAATTGTCTCCTCGCTCAGCAGCGTGTGTCTTTCTCGGTTACCCTCCTTCCCAGAAGGGCTACCGGTGTCTTGATCTTTCCACTCGCAAGATCATCATCTCTCGCCACGTTGTTTTTGATGAGACTCACTTTCCGTTTGCGGCTTCCAAGCCCCGACCGGATTCTTTTGACTTTTTGTTACAGGATATACTTCCCGCGCCTGTCCCGTCTACCTCAGACGTTCGGACCTCGCGGGCCTCGGTTGCGCCTGCCTCGTCTGCCTCAGATGATGCCGGCGACCCCGTTGGGCTCGACCCTGCCATTCTGTGGCACGGCGCTGCCCACCGGCTACCCCAAGCGCCTCGGCAGGCCATGGCTCCTGCACCTCCTCTGCCAGCAGGTGCCGTCGCCCCTGCCCCTGTCCGGCAGCGGTATGGCATCCACTACAGCCGTCGTCAGCATCTGGCACCGGCTCCACAGCCGCCGCCGGCGGTACCTCCGGCCCCAGAGCCGCAGGCAGTGGTGCCCCCGGCTCCAGCACCGCAGGCGGCGGTGCCCCGGGCTCCAGAGCCTCCTGCGCGGGCGACTCGTTCCCAGACGGGTTCCCTGCCGCCGCCCATGCAGCGGTATGGCTTCACCGCGGCGGCCTCCAGTCTGGCTTCTCCGTTGCCGGGCAACTCTCGCGCCGCGCTCGCCGATGCGAATTGGCGCGCGGCCATGGCCGAAGAATACAAGGCGCTCGTGGACAATGGCACCTGGCGTCTTGTTCCTCGACCGCCTCGTGCCAACGTCATCACCGGCAAGTGGGTCTTCAAGCACAAGTTTCGTGCTGACGGCTCTCTGGCTCGTCATAAAGCCAGATGGGTCGTTCGTGGGTTCTCGCAGCGGTACGGCATCGACTACGACGAGACGTTCAGCCCGGTTGTCAAACCGGCCACCATCCAGGTCGTCCTCAGCATCGCCGCCTCTCGCTCCTGGCTGATACATCAGCTGGACGTGAAGAACGCTTTTCTTCACGGCCATCTGAACGAGACAGTCTACTGCCAACAGCCGCCCGGCTTCGTCGATCCGGTGGCTCCCGACCACGTCTGTCTCCTACAAAAGTCCTTGTACGGACTCAAGCAGGCGCCTAGGGCGTGGCACCAGCGGTTCTCCGGCTTCGTCCAGCGGTCCGGCTTCACTGCTTCGACCTCCGATACATCTCTCTTTGTTTACAAAGCGGATGCCGACATCGCCTACTTGCTGCTCTACGTCGACGACATCATCCTGACAGCCTCGTCGACCCTGCTTCTTTGTCGCATCACCGAGCTCCTTCACTCCGAGTTTGCCATGACAGATCTCGGGGATCTTCATCACTTCCTCGGGATCTCTGTCACGGGTTCTGCTGACGGCCTCTTCCTGTCTCAGCGCCAGTACGCTGTGGACCTGCTCTAGCGCGCCGTCATGGCTGAGTGTCATTCTACGACGACTCCTGTTGACACTCATGCCAAGCTCTCTGCTACGGACGACGCTCCAGTGGCGGATGCCACTCAGTACCGCAGCCTCGCCGGTGCGCTACAGTATCTCACGCTGACTCGTCCAGACCTCGCCTATGTAGTTCAGCAGGTTTGCCTCTTCATGCACAACCCGCGAGAGCCTCATCTTGCGATGCTCAAGCGTGTCCTGCGGTATGTCAAGGGCACCCTGTCCACCGGGCTTCACATCGGCACAGCCAGCATCACCAGCTTGACCGCCTACTCCGATGCTGATTGGGCTGGTTGTCCAGACTCTCGGCGCTCCACTTCAGGCTACTGTATCTTCCTCGGCGACAACTTAGTCTCTTGGTCCTCCAAACGACAGACTACGGTCTCTCGTTCGAGTGCGGAGGCTGAGTATCGTGCTGTTGCGCACGCTGTGGCTGAGACTTGTTGGCTTCGTCAGTTACTTCAGGAGCTCCACGCACCCATCTCTTCGGCGACGATCGTCTACTGCGACAATGTCAGTGCTGTCTACATGACCGCCAATCCAGTTCATCATCGTCGCACGAAGCATATTGAGATAGATATTCACTTTGTCTGTGAGAAGGTTGCTTTGGGACAGGTTCGGGTGCTCCATGTTCCATCGTCTCATCAGTTCGCGGACATTATGACCAAAGGGTTACCTGTACAGTTGTTCACTGACTTTAGGTCTAGTCT